TTTTTTTTTTTTTTACTTATTTATTGTTGTCTAAAACTTTAACAGCAATTAAACTGCTGGAAGAAGAAGACAAATGATCACATGTTTAAGGGCTGAAAAAGAGAAAAATGGGGAAAAAAAAGAAGATGACAATATCGGATGATCGTTTGGATGGAATTTGATTGGGTTATTTTTTTTTTTGCTAAATGTATGATGGAACTTTCCGGTTTCAAATTTTTTGTCTTTTTTTCCTTATCGCTTTAAAATTATATAGTTCATGTGCTACTACCATTGCTGCTGCTAATCATTATTCGACTATACATCAATACGTCTGGATAATCATTGAAACAGAGTGACTTCTTATCACTCCATCAAAATCAAAAACTCAAAAAATATGGTATATGTTTTATTTTTAGCTTCTTTTGTTTTGTGTGTTTTTGCAGTCAACTAAAAGCTCTGTATTTTTACTGAGCACTGCTTTGTCGCTCTAATTTTTTGTTGTTGTTGTTGAGAGAGGTTAAAATCTAAATATGCGTAGCCTGTCTAAGAAACAGAAAAATATTTTTGATCCTTTTACTGGTCGATTGAATACTGACGATGCATTCCACCAACTTTGATCTTTCTATGGCTAACTTCTCCTACTGCTTTAATTTTTTCTTTGTCTCAATTCCTTCCATCGGAAAAAGTTTATACAGTTAGCCATAAGAAGGTGGAAAATGCAAAAAAATTCCTGCTTTTCTCGTCTATCATCCTCTTTTGGTCCAATTTCTGACATACCAAGTGATACTAAAATGATTAAAATCAAAACTTTTTACTTCGCTTTCGCTATTACTACTACTGAAAAATTAAAAAAAAAAGTAAGTAGAAGAAAAAAGTAAAGAAAAATTCTGTGGATTAGGATGACGAAGAAGTTTGAAAAGTTAGAATTAGCTGTATGTTTATAATCAAAAATATTTTTGCTTGGTATTTTTTCCTTATAATAGGCCAAAAAAAAGACGAAGGTTTGAAGATTTACAGCGCTGTAACCAGTGACTTAGCTGGTGGATTGCAGTTGCTATATTTTATAAAGTTTCGGTTATCTGGCTAAATTTGTGGCTGAAAGTTGAAATGGTGTAAAAATGAAAGGACTTCCATTTAGTGTAAAAAATGCAGTTGCTTATTGCTAAAGGAAGAGCTTAGTTTAAAGTCAAGTTGATGAGGAGAATGGGCACGCTATTGGAGCCAGTAGAAGCGGGGTGAATGGTGTTGCGACTCTAAGGTCGACAGGAGTGTAAGCAAAGAATCACGGTCAAAAGGCAAGGCAGACGTTTCGTTTTGACTGGAATAATTTAGTTTAAATATTTGGGGACGTAGATAATATTCTCATTCGGAACTATGAAAAAGAATTGGTCTTTTAAGGACGTGACAGTGAAGTGTAATATGCAGTTAGTCGGGACTTGTTTGGCTAGCAACTTCCCAGGATGAGCACTAATTAGGATCGTTTCATTTTTAAACGCATTTCTAAGAAACATAATGGTGGCGTGAGCAGATTTGAAGCATCCGAGATGTCCATCAAAGTAGACGAAGAGTTTTTGATAAAAACTGGTCTAACACTAGAAGTTTATTTCTAAAATATGGAAAAAAATTCAACAGTTGGAAAAGTAGAAGCAAAAAAAGTGTTTAAAAACTGCGGGATACTTATCAAAAAAGTTGTTATTCTCTGCAGATTTGTTTGACGTTAACTGAATGTAAGTGGGAATTGAATTTTTGAAAAAAATCTTGTCAGTATTTATCATCTAGCATGGTGTGGTACCTGTGGTGAAACTGAAGACAATTTTTTTTTTAATGATACTGCGTTGAAGCCACAAAGTTTTTTGTGTTTTTTAGGAATTCAATCAAAGAAGGTAGATTTGAAGCGGTGGACGAACGGTTTTTAAAAAGCCAGGTAAGTTTTTTCTTCAGTTTCGTTTTCTTCCATTCTTTGCAGTGCCGTTGTTTGGGTGGACGATCAAAATGGTGCAATATCCAATGTTCTCACGAGACCGTTTAATGTTGCAACATTTCTTGCCATCTGTTTCAGAAAAAAAAAAAAGGGGAGAGGGAAAAGGAAGAACGGAATTTCCAGATGAAAATGTTGAATTTTAGCTGCAGTTTTTTGATTCCCTTACTTCTTATTTTCTCTCCTATCAAACTTACAATAAATTACTGTAGGATTATGTGAAAGCAGTGATGAAGAAAAAGTAAAAGTAAAAGATTTTCTTTTTGCATATACGATAAATTTAGCAAATTATTTTTGTTTATCAGCTTTTTCGTTTTTTTTTTACAAATTTACTTATTTTACTCTTTTACTGTTTTAATCTTTCAACAATTTTTTTTTGTCAGAATTTTTAGAGATATATTTATTTGAGAATATACTGTTTTTATTGACAAATAATTTCAATATTTTTAATTAGAGAATTTAATTCTTTTTTTTTTTTTTAGGCAACAGATTAGTTTATTGAATCAATGAATAGTAGTTAAACTTTGTTGTCGGTGATCAATCAAAATAATAGCAAACAGTTGTAACCGCATAATGTTTCAGACTTAAAGATAGGAATTAAATTTAAAAAAAAAAGAAAAAAATTGGACAGTCTGAATTGGAATAAAATTTTGAAGTTGGTGAAAGGGAAAAAAAAAAACATTAAAATTTTTGTAATTATTGTATGCTTGTTTTTTTTTTTTTGATGTTACTGTTGCCGTATAGTTTAACCGTTAATCTGTTGTTGTTCAAATGTTCAGTACAAAAATCATTTTTT